ATACTGTTGCTGTAGCTGCTGTATTTTAGACCAAAACTGATCATGGCTTAATGGTAATAACTGAAAGGTTGTAAATGTCCTGATGCGGTTTGTAGCCACTCTGGGTATAACTTTTCAGATGTGTATATTGGTAACAGGTCAGTTTGGAAAGTCTATAAGCTACAATAAATTTCTGGTTCTAAAGGTGGTTTGCATTTCTTTTTCACTGAATGGAACAAAGTTGAATCGAGTTAATTAGCTGTGTGTTAATTTGCCTCTGCTGGTGGCAGTAGAAGAGTTTTGTTTTCGTTGACCTCACGCGTAAGACTTTGGTGGCATATGTGTACAATTATCAGTCTTTTTTTTTATTTTTAACTTACAAAACATGTATCTAAAGCAACCAAAAAGTTAAACATGTAAACATTCTCTTCTTAACAGAACCACAGTTTGGCTTAAAAAAATACTTCTTTTTTTCAAAAGCAACAGAATAAGCACAATCAGTTTGTACAGAGTTAAAAAAAAATAATCACAGAAACATCTCTAAATAAATAGAAATAGGAGTATCACTTTGAGCATATTTCTAGAATCAGAAGGTACTATTTATAGTGAAATGTAATATTTTTGAAAGTGATTTAAGTTTCAATCTTCCGTACGTTTCAACTTGCTGAAAACTATCGGGTGAGCTGCTGCTTTGTAAAGTTGGAGCCAAAAGGCTCTTTGCTGACCCAATGCAGCCATCAGAGTTTCATTCAAGAGGCTATTCCAGTGGTGTACAGGGAAGAAGGTCCCCTTGATGACTCACTGATATTTTTACTTACTGTAGGTAAGTCAATTTTCTGTACCAACCTCTCTGTAAAACTGTGCTGGATTGAGAAAAGCTTTGGAATTGCTCAGTTCTTGCAGTTTATGCTGATACAAATCTGCTTTATTGCACTTCTGAAATTGAAGGACAGATGACACGAGCCACTGCTGCTTTGTACTTCTGTAAAACTATCTTAGGGCCTGAGTTTTCTGGAAATGCTACCCAAACAACAGCTGAAGGTAGGAACTGCCGTGTGCCTGCAAACCAAGTACTCGGCCTGACTACGGGAAAGCAGGAGGTAAGGCTGCCTGGCTGCAGTGTGACAGGTTGTGGCAATGTTAGAGACTTGCTTTTACCTTTGCAGAACTGTAGTATGTTTCTTCTCTTCCACAAGAATGTGTAAACCACTGATGAGGTGATTGTGGTTTCAGTGCATCTTAGCTTGCCTGCAGCCTGGTATTTCTGCATGCTTTTCGCTCTGTAAATTAGTTTAGCAAGGAAGGAAATAGCAGTATTGATCTACTCTCTAAAATGGAGTCCAAGTTGTGTGGCCACAGGGAACTCTGCAAGCAAACAGCGTAGCACCCCAAGGGAGGGAACATGGAGGTCATAAACATCTGCCTCTCCCTACGGAGGGAACAGTGATTTAGATGTGTGCAGTACCCTGTTCTCACTGGTGAGCATGCAGAGCTCTAAACCCTGCCGTATTTTCTTCCAGTACCCTGTTCTCACTGGTGAGCATGCAGAGAGCTCTAAACCCTGCTGTATTTTCTTCTAATATCAAAACAACTGTTAGAGCTTGAGCATTGAGCTGCTGTTTTCCCTTTTGCGTTTCCTATTTAGCATATTCCTGCCAACCTTAACTTTACTCCATGATTGTGGCAAATTTCCTGTATATTCCATTAAGTTTGGATGCGGAATACTTGGTCTCCACAAATCTGGCTCTTAAAAAAACCTTGAAGAATTACAAAAAATAGCATCACATCGTTACAGAGGACAATGGTGCAACGCTGTAGAAGCACCATCCTAAAGGGTAGGTGACACAAAGGTCTGATGCACAAACAGGGTGTTCACCAGACGTTCACTGTATGTATTAATCCTCCATATTAACTGAGAAGTAGCATCATGTGACCTTTTTCTGGGGAAAAAACAATAAGGTAAGTAACAGTCCTCAGATGAGGTACAGCAGCACCTTGCTGTGAAAGCACAGACTCGCTGTCAGTTGTGGTAGAGCAGCTGACACATGGTAATCTGCTGCTCATGGAAACGTTTGCATTTCTCCAAGTCCTTATGGTAATGGATTTTTTGTTTAATTGGATGTAAGAGATACTTGTATCTTCCTTCTCCTAATTTACATTCTGACAGCCAGCACCCTCCTAGCCTGTGAAGCATGAGGCTCTATAATCTGGCACAGGAAAGGAAAATTACAGTATTTAAAACAGCTAAACAAAAAAAGTCTGATGGTTTACTCAAGTCTGATGGTTTACTCTCATAATTAGTCACCCAGGTCAGTTTCACACTACTATACTTCTAATTGCAAATATGGATTCAGTTTTAAGGTTTTATTTGAAACCTGAGACCAGTATCTGCTGTTCAGCTGAAGAAAACAGTAATATTGTAGAGCCAGGAGAACCGCATCAGTGAAATTTATAGCATATTGCAGGGAGCTCACCTTTCACAGAGGACAATACTCAAGGAGTACAGGAAGTTTCTTTCAGTTCTAGAGTTCTGGCTCCGGGTGAGATGGTGCTTTGTTTCCTGCAGGTCAGTTGGCACACATTTGCTCACTGGGGTGTTTCTGGTGTTACGGTTGAATGCAGAGTTACAGGAAGCCATGAAGCCACCTTTCACTTCTAGCTAAGTGAGTAGGGTTTGTAACACAGAAAAAGAACTGCAAGAAAACAATTACTTGTTGCAAACATACTTTCAGTCCTACTTACTAATCAACATGCTGAAGAACTGTTACAGAGCAAGGTGTTAGTAAGTAATCAGGATCAATTGGAAGGGTACATGCTGTTCTATCTTGAAACGTTCTGGCCACTTCTCAGTCATACACAGTATCATCTGAAAGGTGTAAAAAAGGGGATCTCCAAGGGTTATATGAAGTTAAAATGAGTTGTCTTCTATATAACTGCTTCTTCTAACAGGTGCTCTATGAGAGGCAACCTGCTTTATATTAATACATACAAAACAGTACAGAATGGACTGCGTCGCATAACATCTTTACGAAAAGAAACAGTAAGTACTTTAAATCAGAATTTAAATTTGCATCAGTGTAACACTAAATCGTAACCTGCTAGTATGTTTGTATGTAAAGGTAACGAGGAAAGGGTTTATTTAAAGTGTTTAGTATTCCATTCACTGACCAAACCTAGTATTAGCTACCATTATTCATTTCTGCTTAGTGTAGAAGTTCCTTTTTAAGGCAGTGTTAACTTAGCTATACAGCTGATGAATAACAAAGATCTATAACTTGTCCTCTTAAAAAAAAAGTGGACTTAAACAGCCATTCTTTTAAAGTACAGGGTACCTGATTTTAAAGCATTAAAAAGAGCTGAAAGTCAGGAGTGAGTTGTACATGTGTGCTGGATGCAAAAACACTATCAAATCAAATTTATCCCATAACAGGGAAGATTTTTAAGGCCAGTCTCTGTCCTAAACTTGGTATTTTTGTGGGAATTTTAAACCAGATACGAAAGCTAAATTTACATGAGAGTAGTCCATGATTTGACAATATGCACATCGCTTGTCACTTGAGAAACAGGATCTGAAATCCCTGCACTTTTTTACCTACATAAGGTAAGAGCAAGTAAGAGAGTTTTATTCACAGAACTGTTTTTTAAAGATTGCTCAACCTAGTTAAGGGCATACAAATCTAATCTAGGCTGCAGCGACAGGGGTATCTTGAAATTAGATACGCTGTTCCTTAAAAGGCAGGAACAATAGCACCTCCATAGGAACCTGATGTTGTGGAGAACAGGGGAAATGGACGGAAGCAACCCCAGGGAACTGCTAATGGAAGCAGGTACTAACCAGGCTACTCCACCTCTTGCAGCCGAACCACAGGCTGCAGCCTGCTTGATGCCCCTCGCTACGCTCGGGTGAGGCACCGGGCAGCAGCAGTGGCTCCTGTTCACCTGTCCCTGTGCAACACCAGTGCTCAGAACTGCTCACCAGGTGAGGACAAAAATATGACACGAGTAGAAATACGGGATTGATAACAGCACCTTGTGGGAGGCGGGACAGATTCTGCTTGGGAAGGAGAGCGGCAGCAGCGAGAGCAGGAGGAGGCTGGAGTAGACGGGAGTTCGGTGCCAGCCCAGATGCCCGCAGCTTGCGCTCTGGCCGAGCCCCCACAGACACGCAGTCTTTGCACACCAGCTCTAACAACAGACCAGGAGTCGTGTACTGTAGTTGAAAGGAAGAAGAGTGCGGAAAGGAACGGGGAATAAGTTTGTAAGGAGATGGGAGCTGAGACGCAACTTACTGTAAGTGTTTCAGTGTTAACCCCGCTCATCTGGCACTCCTCTATCCTTCCACGGAAAGCAGAACTGGCCAAGTAACTTAGGCACAGAAAGGTACCATCTGTCCCAGCTGACACTGGAATTACAGTGGTGCTTCCCAGCGATTAGGTGGGTGTAGGCCAGTGCCCTGCATGCACAAATTGCGGGGAAACCAGGAGGCAAACCAGCTCTAACCTACCCCGACAGGAGGCACACGTAGCAACCAACGTTACATGCCAATTCTGAAAACGCAGTCTTACTCTTTTCAGGCTTAAAACCAGAATAAACACGGAAACCCAGGAATTGCTTAAGGTTCAACTGAAGCCTGACTTAACGAAAGCCAAAAAACCACCCAAGCCTGTTCTTGTGGCATCGGTATTTTGACAGCAATAGATGGGTTCCAGTTCAGTTTAAGAACACTTTGGCCTCTGTAGCAGAGAGAAAGTAAGACGACAGCGTGGGTATTTTTTACTCTGTCACAATACAGAGTAAAACAATTTGTCCAAGTCCGCTTCAGAGGTGATTTAAGCTGACCTACCTTGGTGTACACTGAGACAGGGTAGGGAGGAGCAATCGCGTGGTGACGTTAATGCCTCTGAGCTGAAACGGTGGGAACCTGGAAGATGGGCTATACCATAAGAGCTACAGGGATAGCAGGTTCTCAGTGTTCAGCTAATTTTTCAAGAAAACAGAAACATACACATCAACACACTGGAAGGATGTTACAACTGCTTGAACTCTTCTATTAGAAGATGGATTTGAAGCTTAACAAGTTCTTAAGGGTACAGTACATCTACCTACCTTTCACTGTATGCAGTAATTTTATTGCCTCATGTCTCTCCCTTGTCCCCCAGAGATCTACAGCGGACACGATTACATGGCTGATGACAGTCCAACAATTCTTCAGTCGTGCAGAAACGTCTGATCTCCGGGAACACAGGTAGGGATCTTCAACATGGCAACATTCATCAGTCTTTAAAAACCTATCTACAATTGCTGGACTCAGTGCAGGTATTACGGTCTCTCGGAGCAAGTGTGCAGGCTGATGTTGCTCTACTGTCTGTTATCTTTGGATACGTTGTGTGCCAGCCAGTTCACTTTGGTTTTCCAGCTTTCTCGCAGGGCTTCATTAAACTTTAGTCTGAAGTGCTTCAGTGCCTCCTCATCTGTTTTCCCAAGAGCTAGGGAATCCTGAAGGTAAGAGGCAGAAATCAGTATAGCCTCACCGAAAGTGCAACTGAACAATTGACTGCTCAAGATGTTTACTCACAGGAGCACTAAGCAGGAAAGAAGTAGTCATTAATTCTAATTTTTTAAGTTTTTAATAGTTGCTGTAGTGGCACGAGGTTTTTTTCATTCTGATTAAATACATGCATCCTAGTCTTACGTTGGGCATAGGAAAACTAGGGGTTTTACTGCTCCTGTACAAAGCTACTGTCTCTCAGTTGGCCAGGGCTAGGCTGTTAGAACGTGAGGCAAGCTGGGAACAGCAAACGATACACAACCAACAAGAGCCCTGTCTCCTTCCCTGCAAGCTGGTTCTGCAAGGTACGTACTGCCTTTGTGCTGAAGAATAACTGAAGTTATTTCCTGAGCACCAGTATCTGGCATTTCTGATGTCCTCCACGTGAACGTTGGATGTCTATTCATGACTTTTGGACCTCTTTTGCCTCAAAGAAGATGCCCTTCCACACTGAACTCCTCCCTCACTGAGCTACAAGATCAGGTATTTGGTTTTAACCGTATCTGGGCTCTGCTGCTCTTACCTTCAGATACTGAATATCTTTAGAGCAGCTGAGTTCTGGCAGGCCAGCAGCTTTCATCAGTGCAAACAGGTGCAGGAAGAGAAGACCATGGCGCCTCAGAATCATATAGGCTTTTTCACAGTAACCCCTGAATCTGTTCAGAAAGGGAGATGAGGCAAAGCAATGAAGCTGTATCATTTTGTAAAGCAAGACTGGGTATTAGTCTGAACTCTGCTGTCTGCATTGATGACTACCAAGCTCTTGCTCTTTCTCTAACAGGTAGATAATCATTTATTTGCTTTCATGTGCATGGACAACTGTAGGCTATGTATCATTGGTGGAAATAACTTCTGAAAATTCAGAGCTTAAAAAGCTTAAGTCCAGATTAACTGCTAACACTTACCTTTCAAACTTCTCATTGTTGTTAGTTTTTCCTTGCTGGATGACATGCACAAAGTCGTAGGTGAGGATGAAAGGAACTCGTTCTCTATTAATACCAAATTTAGTCTTGAAGTTCCCCAAAAAGTGACCAAAATCAATATGGAACAACTGAAAATAAGGAAGAAAAAAATAAATTGTTTTCAGAATAGTATCTATTGTAGCTGATCAGCACTGAGTTCTCTTCACAGTTACTGTATTCAAAAGATACTGACGACCACAAAAAAATTACCTCCCCCATGGTACTCCTTTGGGAAAAGAGGCAGTATTTACTTGCCTAGATATTCTCTAGGGGAATTAGATGTTGGATAGGACAGAAAAGATACTTTACCTCTTCAATATTTGGTATATCTGAAGAAACTTCTAGTTTTACAAAAACCTTAGCCCGCCACTAGTAGAAGTAGAAAGAGAACTGGAACGGACGCCCTACCAGTGCAGGCTGCAGTCCCACAGGGTGCTGCTGTCCTGTTCTGAACTCACTACAAAGTGTTCCTTGCTCAGCTAAGGCTTTTTTTTTTGCCCCTCTTTTTTTTTCCTTTTTTGATACCAAGCACAGTGAAGTCGTTGCAGCACTAGTGCTGTGATGGGAAGGAGGATTCCATGCACAACCTTGCCCACTACGAGCTGCTGCAAGCCCCTGGCATACAAACCCCAGGCTGCCCACTGCAGGGCATCAGCTCCCCCACGTGGACAAGTAACTGAGTGGCCTCTGCTCTGCAAAAACAGTTTTCTAAGCATTTTTTAATGGGAGGAAGATGCAGTCCGAGATAATAAGGGCTGCTGCTAGTCACAGCCCAGGGAGGGAGGTTAAGTGTCTTGTCAGCAAACGAAACGGTGTCTCTGTCCCTGCTGTGACCCCGAAACAAAGTCACTCTTAGGTTTCTTTGACCATGACTGCTTGATTTAGGGGAAGAAGATGCAGAAGAGTGGCATGCCACACAGAAACAGTGCAGCCATGCAGCTGGACGTACCTACTAGACACAAGTCTCAAAACAGCAGCAGCCAATTTCTTACTTTCAAATATTAACTAACTAGCTCACTTCACTGAACCTGCAGAAGACTCACCTTGCACCATCTAGCACAGGCTTGTTTTAGGCTTCGTAGAATTCACAATTAAACAAGATAGCTTAGACTTCCCCCTTTACCACATATTACTGATGTATGTGTCCTGTTACTAAAGGGATCTTCTTTTTCCTAGTTTTGCCCTTTCTCTTCCAAAGTTTACCCGAGGATATAATCTCTGGTAATCTATTCTTGTAGAATAGACAAGTAAAGGAATCAATACAGGTATCAGTGTGAAATTAAAACCATGTTGATCACTTGCATTCATTTAAAAGAAAAAAAAACACCAAACCAAAAAAACAACAACAAAACAACCCCCACACAACATTTTTTTTTCTAGGAAGAAGACTATAAATATATCAGCTTGGGTAAGTAACTGAGGATCTTACCTAGCAACTACAAGCAATTTGTGACCCTGCTGAAGCCAAGTAAGTCTTCAGACTGATAAGCTCAGTGCTTGAGTTTGCATCTGCAGACAATTTTAGGTCTGAGCAGTATGAATTGCTCCACTGTAATTTCAAAATGGGTACTAACAGCGGCAGCTGATGGCAGAGATGCTTACAGAATTGTAATTCAAACTATAAAACTGTATTTACCCTCTGAATGATAGAAGCTATTGAGAATATTTGTCCAGTCTGCCTCCCAGCTGGAAGGTGAGGTACGCTCCTTAGCAGTAGGATTGCACTGGGATGTATCTGTCCATTGCTAAGTAGCATTCATGCCCCTCTTCCAGTACTCCAACAGCAGCAGTGAATCCCCATACCTGTCCAGTTTCCCGGATCATGATGTTATCACTGTGCCGGTCACCTATCCCCAGCACATATGTTGCCACGCAGTACCCTAAGAGTGAATTCCTCTATAGCTTGTTCTAATGCATCGCTGAAGAGGGTAAAAAAAAGATTGAAAGAGAATTTTACATTGAACACAGTACTACACCACTGCAAAAGTTGATTTTGTAGCTTCCCCTATGCAAACGAGCAGGAGAAGGTAAGGGAATCACGTTTGAATTTCTCTAGTGTTCTCCAGAGACAGTACTTCCAATCTATGCTTTACAAAAACTAGCTGCAGTAACAGCTGTCTGTAATTGGAGAGATCTGGCTAAGGTTGTGTCCACAATCTCAACAAAAATGGTTTAACCTCAGCTAAATTAACTCATTTCTAGTTCTCCAAAGATGAAGTGGGCTCCTGGAACGATTCCTGTTGGTGCCTTGCTACATCAGAGTAGCACTGATATATTACTGCTGTCTCTTTCTGTATCCAATAAAACCCCAAGCTACCCAGCTTTTGTGCTGCTTGCTTTTTTCACCTCCCAGTTTTGGCATTACTCCTTCTGCCCCTTTTCCAGCTGCCACAACACTGACTATCTCTGGAGAAACTAACAGGACCAATGGGAGGATCAAGGTTTGGATCCAGCCTTTGGACAGCACCACCTTAAGCTGTCAAAGATCAAAAATACTTGCAAACAGTATCCCAGATGCCTCCATTTCTGCCCAAGACCTACACAGATCCACACGATGCTTTCCAGTGTGCCAAGCAGTGAGGCAGCCATAGATACTGTGGGACAGCTTGGAAATAAGCACAACTGAAGGAAAAAAATTGAGCAAAGCAGAAGAAACATCTCTAGGTGGATGCAGTAAAGCAGCACTGAGTAAAAGGTAAGCCCACTTACCCTGGGTTCTTGGATTTTAGCCAGTTCAGCAGTGCATCCTTGTTGAAAGCTGCAGTGGCCACCATGTTGCTCTTGTTCAGCTGGATGTTGGCAATGGTGTCTGAATGCATGACTACTTCTATCAGTCCAGTCTTGTCTCCTGTGGAGAGGCAGCCATAAGGGGTCATCCTGCAGAGATGAAAGAAACCCTTCCACTGAAATCTTGCCCAGAATTGGGTTGTGCTGACTTCTAAGCTTTCCCTTGTCTGTTTTATCTACTCCATCCCTACTCTGCATTTCTACTCCTCAGTACCACAAAAACTAGCTAGCTGCTGTCGGGGACAAAATAAGCTTGCAGACAAAACAGCCTCACCACACATGATTTATCATTGCAGTAGGACAACCGTGTGCACATTACTCACCTCAGGTCCAGGCCCTCCTGCTTCCACAGGATGTCCATCAACTGGATCATCTGCAGAGTCAGCATGTCCTGACGAAGGTCTGTGCAGCGTTACAAAGGAAAAGAGGGTCCTAAGTATCTCCCATTCTCCATTCCTCTAGTGCTCTTGCAAGTGGCACTCGTTCTGCCCCTGAAGCAGGCTGCTAGAGGGGCCTTTGCCAAGTTTGTCACTTGCTAGGTCTAGCTAGTAAAGGACACCAGCACAGAGCAAAGTTTACTAGTGCAGTAATACCATGAGGCCAACATATCAGATCCCTTAACTCAAATATGATTATCCTAATGGAGGCATATGCTACTTCACTTTGCCAAAGCTCTTCCCGTAGCAGTCAACGCAGCACTTTAGAAAACATCTGTCTGGACACAACAGTGAGCAGCAGTTGCTCCAACCCTATGGAAGCTTGGACTGCTCTAGCTTTCAGACCTCACATCAGCTTTCTCTTTACTGTGCAAGGGTATCCAGCTACTACCGTGCTAAAATCTTAATGAAGTGTAGAGGAGAGTTTATTATACCTCCAGATTACTGTCCAAAAACTCAAATGCATTTTTGGTCCTCATTTACACAACATCTTAATGGTCCATATTTAGGCCCGCTCATCACAGTAAATATTTGAGACTATTACACCTGTGAAAATATATTCTTTGAAGACTTACCGTCTCCATTTTTAAAAATAATACCCACTCCACCTCCACCTGTCTCTTCATTATTAAACACAATCCATAGAGGTTTCATTTTGGAGTCCATAAAGGTGCACTGATCCACACTAGAGGAAACAAAAACATAACCATCAGAGTTTCCATCTATTAAAAAAGTGGCTATCTAAACTTGCCTTCTCATAAAATCTCTATGATTTTATCTATCTAAATTTGCATTCAATAGCATTCACAAACACTAAAGGACTGGGGGCTTCCATGACAAAACAGGACCTTGGGGTAACCAGAAGCCTGGCTCTACTGTTGAACAAAGCCTGCGGCCCAAATTAAGAGATGCAGCTGTCTTCCTTACCAAACTTCAGTGAGGATAATGTTGGGGTTCAGGGGGGACTGGAGGTGGGAAAGTGCTTCGAGATAAGTTTCCTGCTTCATGCACACATGCATCACCTCCTTGGTTTGAGGCTTGGTGGCCTTCTGAGAACTCATTTTAACAATGTCATTCAGAGTTTTCATCTTGTTGAGTGCTTCTCCCTGGAAAAAGGGAGGGATGGAACACAATTAACAAATAGGAAATTGCGGAGAAAGTTTAACAACTACTGAAGTCTCCTGTGAAATGTAAACCTTGGATGTGTCTCTCTTCAACTTGTAGCAATTTCACACATTGCAACAAAACAAGTTTTGTAGGATCTGCTTGAGGGAGATCCGTAATCAATTATGGATATTCTGCTGGGCACAAATGCATTGCAAGGTGACGACTGCATCAGGAATAACACACCGAAGGAAGAAGTGGGGTGTGCTGGCTAAAAAAGTGAGGATGAGACCTATAGCCCCTGCCCTTCCATGCTTTTGGTTACGGAAAAGTGCCACTCAGGCTTGAAAGCAGGAGCAGCACATCTTAGATACGACTTCATGCATCCATGAGCCCCCCGCTTCCGAATTAGGTACAGTGATCGCTGATAAATAATAGAGAAGTTTTGGAGAATGGGTAAAGAGCAGGGTAACTCCACACAGCAACTGAAGGCAAGAGTGCACTGCTCCCAATCAGACGGCCTGTTGTGCTCAGCTCCTACTAAACAGTAACTCATTCAACTCACCTAATAGCAGCAGCAGTCTCTGACCATTTCAAACCATTCTAGACACATAGTGTAGTTTGGGACGTGTGTGGGTGAGTAAGAGATGAGCAAAGTCTCATGTGATGGGCAACTCTAGGCTTTTAATAGGATGTGCCAAAACCAATATAGCAGTTAAAAGGCTTTTTTTGGTATTACTGATAACATCAAGTGGGAAAAGCTAACAGCTGAGAACCAGCTCCAAGCAAGAGGGAAGTCAACCTTGTAGCTAAAAGCAGTTTTTACCTGTTTCATCAAAACTTTCATATGGTGGGTGCTGCCTCTGCAGTATGCTTCCAGGATCAGGCCAAACCTCAAGGCAACTGCAGGAACATGCATTTCTGATCTGGGGAAGAAGGGAGGTTAAAGAAGTTGTGACTCACTGCAGTGAGTGACTAGTTCTCCCATTCATGCCAGCACAAGGATGGGGGGAGAGGAGAGGAGGAGAAGAGGGTGCAGAATATTAGCTGCTGTTTAGATTCTGTGTACTAGGGAGGGAAAAAAACACAAATCCACCCCAGAAGATGATGTAGAAAAACGATTGCTTGAAGTGACGAGAAATCTTTCTGGATGACTAAATTGCTAACCCCTCCTTTGGGAGCATTACTTAAGGAACAAGGACAGTTCAGAGCCTATGGGTCAGAACTGGCAGGGGGCCATGGCTATCCAAGGTAAATTTCAAGTTACAGACACTTTTGTACGTGTATATAAATTCTGAAAACAGAACCTAATCCAAAAACCACCACCACAAAGCAAAACAACAACCAATAAGGTTGATTATTCCTCCTGGAATAATCCTTATTAAGTAGCTCAAAGCAAAAAGCAGCAGTTCCTGGGTTTTGGTAATCACAGCAAGGAAACCCCACCAATGCTTTGATGAAAGACACTAGCTAAAGGACTGCCCGTAGCCTTTAAATAAACACCCTGGCATCCAGACATGCTTGCTGTCTCACTTCATGGAGCAATGAGGAAACCAGCAAGTGCTGGTTTCACTTGATTCCTGAGAAAACACCTAGAACATTTGCTCTTTACCTCAGATGCCAGAAGAGGAAGTGGCCGATCTTGCGGTTGGATAACGCCCTGTCCAGCAGGAACTTGGTTAATTCACAGTCTAAGTAGGATTCGTACTTCAGCACCTGGACAAGCTGTAGCAGGTATTGGAACAATTCGTGATCTCTTTGGACAGAAAGGAAAAACAAAAGACAACCTTATCTTTACTGCAACAAGTGCACTTGCAAAAAAACTGTCAAGACAAGACTGTCAGCCTTGTTCGCAGTCCCTCTCACCAGCCCTAAACATAAATAGAAAGGGGCCTTGCATATCCCTTGTGGATAACACTTACGTCAGCTTCTTTAATGAGTTGATAGCAAAGGAACCAACGTAATGGTCAGGAAAGCTAAAATCCAGCAGCTCCAAGGCATTCAGGACAGGCAACTCTGGCCAGGTCTGAAGCAGAGAAATCATCTGTAAGGGAAAAAAAAAAAAAAAAAGGAACAAGGTTTTTATGACAATCGATATAAATCTAAAATTCTACTGATGGAAGAGCAGCTTCTTTGTGGGGGTGGTCACTATTTATAGATGCCTCAGAACGAGTTTGCAGACATCAGGTCAAAAACCACCAGTCTGAGCCTTCTAGCAAGGCTGACAGGAACAAACAGGAACAAACATCCAAGCCCGCAGCAGGGTTACTTTTGCTGTATCACAATTAGAGGAATAAGCTCTTTGGGAAGAGCCCTTTCCCACAGCATAACAATGTAGACTAGAAAGGGACCTTTAGAAGGTCCTTTCAAAGCTCTTGAAGTAACGAGGGATGAGCAGGATGCCATCCCTAACTGATGTCTCACATTCTCAGTGAAAGAGATTCACTGACCCCCGGGGGTAGCTTGTGCTGGTCTCTCACTGTCAGTTAAGAATATCCAAACCAGGCCCTATTTCTGCCACGAATTAAACAGGTTTTTTCTTGCCTCCAGTTTCTAAATGGAATAAGCAAGACCTTGTTGGTTGGTAACAAGTCTGGGACAGCGCAGAGAGCCAAATGGAGCCCAGAAGAGCCAAACCTCCACTCAGCTGGGTACCACTCAGCATACGTTCGCAGTGCCAGGCTGAGAACAGAAACCCTTCCTCAGTGATGCCAAACCTACCTGCACTGGGGCACTGCAAAAGGTCCCTGCTAAGCTGGGCTCCCAAACACAACACAGGAATGTAGACACCAAAAGAGATGGATCGAAAAGAGAGCCCTGGCTGCCGACCCCAGCATCCTCACCTGGGCAACATCTTCGTGCTTGTTCCATTTGGTGATGATAAGCAGCTTTGCCAAAGCTTGTGGGTACTGGTCACGGATATCATATCTCATCTTCCACACTAGGTCTTTCTCATGCTCATACAGTTCGGTGTGGCTCCTCCGCTCCAGTATCTCCTTCAGCTGAAGCTTCTGCTCATGGGAATCACAAAAGAGCATACACAGTGCTCAGTCTCAACCCAGAGGACTTGCTCAGCCCAGAGAGACCAAGTAGGACTGGGGCATGACCCAGTTCGGTGAAAAAAGCTGGTTGGGGGTAAGTTGGAAACGTATAGCTTGATCTATGAAACCAGGCTTGCACATAGGCTGCACACAGCTGAAAAACTGATGCCAGAAGACTCACCTCCTCAGGATCTTCTGGTGCAGCACGGGGTGGTTCTCCATTTCTCCCCAACTCCAGCAACTGGGACACAAATAAAGAATCTGAGAAAGGCTCCTCATTTCCTCTGTACTTCTAGCTCACCATCACTTAGGCCTTTATGCTGCACCAGAGATCAGTCACTTGCCACCTCTGGAGAAGG